CAGAGTCAATTGCAAACATTATGCCCTGAGTAAGAATTTTGGTATCTAATGTCTGATTACAGGCTGGGCAACCTGGGTTAGCCCACCTAGGTTGACAGATCAAAGAGAAGGCCGTGGCTCTTTCTGTGCATAGTTGATCCTCCCAGTCTCCTCCTCCCAGACATGTTCATGTTGACTCTCTAATTATAGTCGTGTCTAGCCTGTGCACTTGAGTTCCTAGAAAGTGGAAAAGGGAATTTTTACAAATCCAATTTTCTTCAAAAACTTTCATATGTCTGCCTGAAAAGACTCCTGTGAGAAGCATAAATGGAGGAGTAATTTTTTTTAATCCCGTGGAGATGTAAGTTCTGTAGCCTGTGCATACATTTCTGGATTTTTGTACATTAGATTTACTTTTAAAGCAAAGGTATAACTTTAACAATGTAAAGGACATAGAAAATACGGATAGTACTCTGCTTTAGGATACAAAATTTTCCTGCAAATGTGTCAAAGACCATCACCATTGTCCCTACCTGTAGGGAGTTAGAGACAGAAACTGCAGTGGGGGACGTTAGTGAGAACTGAAGTAAAAAGTTTTTAGTGGCAAATGAATTGTATTATCAGAACCAGAGATTGTTTAACTGGGAATTACAAAGCAACTATTACTGCGTGTCTTTCCTGCAAGGAGTTTTCAAACTTAAGGAACATGATCCAGAAATGTTGTAATAACAAGCCTGGGTAAAATGGCATTCTGTTAAGGTTTACTTTGCCTCCATTTCCATGTCTATTGTATTTAGGTATTTATATCTAGGTTTTAATTGACATTCAGTGTGTTTATTCCTGAGATGACTTTGGGAAAGCTTACATATTTTAAATTTAAAAATGATGTATTTGCTACATTATAAGCAAACGACAAAAAACAATCCTCCTAATTGTACCCAGAAATGAGATCTTGTCTGTGCACTAAAACTTCATTCAAAAGTAACTACCCATGAGTACCATAAATAACCCAAAGGCATTATATTAACACTTGAGGGAAAGGACCTCAGTTTGGGGAAAGCCAATAGGAATGAATTCTCGGATCCAAGGGAAGGAGGAAAGAATTGAGACAAATAGGAAGTGTGCGATACTATGTAATCTCATTATTAGAAACGACATGCGAAGGAGAAAGCTTCTTGAACGACTAGTTTGAGAGGGTAAAAGCTGACTTTTTTATCTTTGTCAACTCTGCTCAACTCAACACAAGAAATAGTATGGCAGGGAAATGAAACAGAAGAAAAAAGTAGAGGTCATATTTTTGACTGTTATTATATAATTTTTAAAATACGTAGGCTCCCTGAATTTCTTTTACTAGGAAAAATTAAATGTTCTTGGTCCCCCACCAAGAACCTTAGAATAAGAATGTGATCAGCCTTAGAGTAAGGGTGTGATCAGCCTAGCTTTATGGGTTCACTCTTTGGAGTTGCAACAATAATGATGAAGACCTGTCAGCTCCATGGGTTATCTCAGTGATTAAGGCTTGCCTCTTTCCCACAGCTCAGGAAAAATGCATCCTATTGTAAGTTTAGCCTCATATTTAGGGAAATTGTTTATAACAGCCACTTATCTACTGGTACGAGACGAGTACAAATACATGCTCAAATCGTGATCATTTTCCACATTGTCAGTCATGCAACCTTATAAACATTTTCTATGGGCTGATAAATTTTGGTACTTATCTACAAGGCTATTTTGCAGCCAGAGAATCCAAAGTATAATCATTACACGAATACTTAAACCAAAATTTCATGCTTATAGTTCTGTCTCCAAGATATTCAGATGAAAGTCGACCTTATACAGAGGACAGGAGGGGAAGGTAGAATTGAGTAGAAAAGGAGGGGAGAAGAACAGCACTGTCCTCATAACCGATAAACTTGGAAAGAGACATTTAAAGGAAAATCTACCAAAAGGGCGACTTTAATGACAACGAAAGATAGTTTTATGGCATTCCCTTTGTTTATACATATTATTGTCTCAGCCCATGATGTTTTGTTTACTTCGGAAAGAAATATTTTACCCCCTCTGAGATAATTAATTTTTGTCAGCTTTGCTGTTTACAAGGGAAACTGAGAAACTGTTAATTGAAATACAGAATGAGTCACTGTTTTCAGTAATTTTTGGCAGCATTCTAATTTGTGTCAATCCCAGCCTAATTATTAGATTTTTTGGAAGCAGAAAGAATATTTGATTTTTCTCATACTGAATTTTTTCTTCTTCTTCTCCTTTTTAAAACACATACGTGCTGTCCGACACGGGTTCTATAGCGTATGTCAATGTGAGGTGTAATACCAGGACATTTTAAAGAGCAGGAGGCTGACTGCCTCATGCTTGGCTCCGTACAGCGGCTCCCAGGATGCATCTTCCTCTTTCCCTCATCCCCACCCCCGCTCCGACCGGAAAATGTGATTCTTGCAAAGACCTTTTGGCGAGGATGAAGCCACAGTATATGGCCCATCACTAATGACATCACTGGAGTAAATTTCCCAGAAGCCATCAGGGAGAATTCATTTGGAAATCCAATTGAATGTCACTTGCAAAGGGCAGGCTCCTGGAAGAGGTGACCAGTCATGCATTCCTGAGTTGTTGGTCGTAAAAGCATTAATCACCGTGAACTCATTTACTCCTAAAGCGAACACATGACATTATTCCACTGGAATGCTGTTCCAAATGATCATTAATGTAGAGGACAGGAGCTGCTGATTGTGGGCTGGGTTAATAAAACCTGTCAGATCAATGACCAGTATAATGGGCATGTTAATGGTTTTTAATAGAAGTTGGATCTTCCTCACTGCAGTAGCATGAAGGCAGGCAGAGAGAGGCAGGTGACTGTGCTGGGCAGACAACTCCATCCCTTGCCTGCTGAGGTAGATGGTGGAGGAAGAGAGCATCCCTGTGGGTCACTGAGCCTTGACAGGGCTCTGAGGCAGCCTTGGCTGGGAGAGTAGGCACCAGCTGTGGGCTGGGGAGGGAGAAAGGAAGGGGCTCTGCTACCACATGCCAGTGGTCCACATGCCACAGGCTTTTGCAGACCATAGGCCAGAGTTCATCCAAGCACCTGAAGCCACATATATTCCAAACCCTAGCCCTCACCCCACCCTGGACCCATAAGTGAGATAAAGAACAGCAGTGACGTTGATAATAGTGACAACCACAGCTAGTGCTCACCGGAAGCTCTCCTAGGTTCAGGACTAAGCATCTCGCATGCCCTTACCTCAGTCCCTATAGCAGCACCTCTATGAAGTATGTACTACTTATTGTCCCCTGTTGGGAAAGGTGAAGTTCAGAGTGATTCGGTAACTAGGAACACAGATTCAAAACTGGGCACCCTTAAACACCCCATTCCTTTTTTCGAGGGAGAGATACAGAAACTGCAGCCTAAAATTGGGCCCAAGAAAGATGCAATGAGTGATCGTGGCCCTGGAAGTTCTCCCATTTGTCTATCCAACCATCCAGTATGTTTCGGACCAATCTTGAGCAATTTATGTAAAAGTTATTGTTTGTCTTCCATGCTGTTCCTCTAAGCTTTGCTATTAAAATGTGCCCAGGACCCTTAAGATGCCCAGTTGCTCATGCCACTCCACTGAAACTTGGACTGGAGCAATGCCCGATACTTAAGGCTTGGTCCTTCTCACTCTGCCCCTGCTGTATCAAAACCTGTCACATATCTGGTCATCTAAGGGGCGTTGGGATTCCTGACTTAGCCCTAACTAGCTCAGCTGAGGAGGAAGGAAGCTACTGCCTCCTGGGGACACTTCCTGGGCATAAGACTTACGTGACTGATAGCAAAAGTCACCCGGAACCAGTGCCCAGAGTTCCAGTTGGTGGCTGGGCATGAGAGCACGGCGACATTCTCAAGCTACAGAGACTGTCATAACTGAGGTGCTGACACAGCTGCCATGGAGCTCAAGAACAAGAAGGGGAGGGGGCTTAACAGTGGAGACTGTGGTTGAGAGAGGCAGCCAAGAGTTGAGGACAGTGGGGAGCAGGAGTGAAAAGTTTTCAGTAAATGGAAGGAAACTGCACACAGACTCCAGTGATCTTTACCGGGTCAACTTTCATGGGCAAGAGGGGCAGCAGGCCCCAGCAGTCTTTGCATCTGAAAACACCACCCTTCCCAAAAGTTTATTTCCTCAATTGTCATTTTAAAAAATACAGTTTTAAGAGTTTGGAAGATGTGAGAAAACAGATGGTTTTAAGGAGGGGGTGATACAGGGAAGGAGAGAGGAGGACACGGAGGTTTCAAAGGAAGGCTCACGCACACCCCACACACCCACCTCCCTCAGCAAGACTGAGCTCAGTGCCATGGGAAATGCAGAGATGTAGGTAGGATGTGTTCTCTGCCCCCCCCCGAGCTTACAGATATATACCATAAGTGCTAGACTACATGGCACAGGATATAAATACAGGAGATTTGAGTGAGAGAAATTAGCAAGAGGAAAATTCAAAAACAGTATCATGGAGATTGCATTGGCTGCAAAGAACATAGAGGATTTGAGTACACAGAGGAGAGAAGACGGTCCACATAGGAGAGGAAGCATGGACAAGAGTCTAGAAGAGGGAGCAAGCACCCTGAGTACAAAGGAGAATGATGGAAATAGCCTTTCCCAAATGGAGTGGGAGTGTGTGTATATATGTGTGTCTGCATGTGTGTTCATGTGTGAGAAAATGCATGAGCAGGTATGTTTGTGCGTGCAACTGTATATGTTACGAGAGGGGATCAGTGGGCAAGAAGCGAGATAAGAGAAGGTCACAGCACATTGCAAAGACCTTGAAAGCTAGACAGAGGAGTCAGGATCAACTTGACAGGCACTAGGGAATTACCACAGGTTCTTGGGCATCCAAGGGTATGATCTATGCCAAGTTTTGGAAAGCTGTGTCTGACAGTGGAGAAGAAAGTAGATTGGATGGGGAAGAGAGAATGATGGGTGCTCTAGACTGCCAGAGTACCCTGTTATTCTGATTTGCTGTCTCTTCTCCTACAGCACACGTCCATATTACCCTTCTCATTGGTTGAAGTCATCCTCAGACCACATCACTATCCATCGAAGAAGACAGGTCTCACTTTGTTGGCAGCCAGTAGTCTTGCTTACATCAGCAGGTAAGAATTGCATGAAGAAAGTCAACTTGGGCTTGTCATTCAAGGCCCTGAGGGATATTCCGGAAAAGCATACTGTTCTGTCAGAGTCTCTTTATCTTGATTTAATAGGGATTTAACAATCTTTATTTCTCCAGGTAGGAGGAATTCTTCTTGTTTGATTTTAATGCTCATGGAAACCTCCCATGAACAAAAACACACAGATGTGCACGCACACACAGCAAGTCACAACCTCCTGTCTCCCTTTTGTGAAGAATTAATCATTGCAAAGACCTATATCTTGCTTTCTCAGGAAAATGTTGTTCTTTGGTTTCATTTGCAATTGAAATGTTTGAATGGCTGAACAATCTGAGGTATCTAAATATATTCCATCTAAAAAAGCATTTGGGTGTGGTACATGCTAGGTTTGTCCACTTCTGTTGCCTGTATCATTATGGGCTTATTTGCATCAACATCTGGCATCAGAGCTCCTGGAAGGCATTTGGGCAGTTGCACAGGAGATGATCTAGTAGCTGGCTCAGATTTCATCATTCAACCACTTGGCAACACTGCTTCTCAGACATGCTGCCCAATGGTCTAGAATCAAGGACAACTGTTGAAACTCTCACCTATTGACTGGGAAACCTCCTTCCCATCCTATAACCCTCTCATCTAGCACCAGGTTTTTGTTTCTACTGAAAGAACATCTAAGCATAAGACCTGAATATGGAATGCTAATCAGTGTTTCTTCTCTAGACTCACATAAGCTATCTCTGTGTGGCAGTCTGGATAATTCACCCTGTCCCTACATGGAGGCACGTTTAATTCAATACAGTGCTCTGCCAAGGATGCAGGCCAAGAGAGAGAACACATGTTGAAGGACTCTTGGGCTCCTGCAGTGTCTGTTTCATGTACTTCACCAGCCTCTGTCTCCCAGCAAATAAACGTCGCCTAGAACTCAGATGTTGGTTCCTCCCTAGTCCTTCCTTCCCTTTTGTGGTGTCTATTCTGCACACTGCTCTGCGTCTCTCTTTTGCTGAGTACCCAAAGTCTCTCTTGCCAGTGCTCTACACTGTTTTTTCAGCCTTTGGGGCTTTTAAGACACTTTCAGAGAGCAAGGCTTAAGCTGATGTCTGATAGGTGATGTCTAAAGTGCTGTGTTCAGAAAGATTCTGAGGCCCTACCAAGAAAAAGTTGTGTGATTATCAAGCAACTGTCTTTCAACATGAGAATGGACAATGGGGGAATGTATGCCATGTATTTACCATATCTGGCTTAACCCAAAGGAATAAATCCCTAAAGACAGAGATCTGGAAGCTGGTTTTGGGTAAGAGTACACATAAAGGTATTTCCTTCTGTCGTGTGTGTTGAAGGAAAGCAAAGTAGAAGTTGGATGATGATACACATAAATTTGTATGCTTTGTTTTCTTGGTGACCTTTAATTTACCCTACTTTTTTCTCCAAGTGCAATTTTTGGAGTTCATGTATAAGTTATCGCCTCTCATATATTGATGTTTTCTACCTAAGAACTTGAAGGTTGATTATCAATTCACAGCTTACTTGTGTTATTCTTTTCCTCTTGGGGACCAAGGGAATAAAGAGCACCTAAGGCCACCGCTGTTACTGGGGAAAGTTGTGGTTGCTATAAAGATGAAAGTAGCAACCAGAACTTGGCTTGTGAGCACATGGACATCTGTTCCAACTCTGCAGAAATCGGAAGGTTGGAGAAAGAAGATGGGGGCTGAGAACAAGTGCATCCTGTGCCCATCCAATTATTCATCCATGCCTGTTCAAGAAGCCCGCTGCCCTTAGGGACTGTCTGGGAAAGAGGAGCATGAGCAGATGGTGGGAAACAGCTGTGGGACTGTGACGGGGTAAGCCCAGGGTGCTATGGACACACAGGGATGTTCAGGGCTGGCTTCCCAAAGGGAAGAGTTGTCCAAGCTGAGACCCAAAGAATTGGTAGGAATAAGTCAAAGGAGATGTGGACAAGACTTTCAGGCAAAGGAAACAGCACCTGAGAAGAGCTAGAGGAGCTGAGGGGATGGCTGAATTGGAGGACAGGGAAAATCTAGATCATAAATCCCATCAGTGAGTTTGAACTTTTAAACCAAGTGCTTTTCTGTGGAAACATTTTAAACAGAGGAATGAAATGATACGGCTTATGTAAGAGAGGTAAGTAGAAAGATGATTCTGGCTGAAATCTAAAGATTTGACTAAAGAGGAACAAGACAGGTAGCCCAGTTGGTGGCATTTGTGGCAACTCAGGTGAGTTGATGTTAGCCAACTGATGAAAATCTGAAAAGAAAAACCACACACACACACAAAACAGAGAGCATGGGTGGTGGGAGGTGACTTAGAGATCACCTAGCATTGGGAAATTGAAGCTCCATTGAGATAGACTGCACATCCAAGGTCACATGGCAGAGATAGGACAGAGTGTGGGAGAGAAGCAAAGCTGAGACCTAGACCAACTTAAAGCAAGGTCTCCTACTTCCAAATCTAGTTCTCTTCCCACTGTGTTAATACAGCCAGGTATTTGTTCAACTCACAGTGTGTGCAAAACCACTCAGCTAAATGCCAGGTTGATGAGCATGCAAAATTGCTTGCCCAAATCTCTGCACTCTAAAATCTTCTATGATAGGATTGTTCCCAGCTCTGTGCTTGAATAGGACATTAAAATAATGGTGGAGGAAGTGGAAGGAAGAAATGGAGACCTGTCCCTAGCAGGAAGGTAACTGGGTGGGCCCCAGTACCCAATGGGGAGCTGCAGTGGTTTGGGGTTTAGCCCTTGCTGTCATAAATGAGAAGTACTAAATCAGCATCTGGTCCATTAATCCCCATGCTAGAATGAATCAAATACATACACTTATATGAGGACATTTTATGTTGTCCCCTGGGTGGAAGCAACCCTGTCTCTTCCGTTCCCGGGTTAGGAGAGCTTGGTCTTTGTTGTTTGCCATCTCCACCCTCATGCAACTCGCTGGGGCCCATAGACCCTCACAGCCACAGATGGCCGACAACACATTTCACACAGTGTGAATATCCATGACTGTTGTCTCAGGAAAGTGGCTATGTATCTGCTGTTAGGTGTACCACTTTGGACGATCAAATGGGGAAACGGCATAGCAGAATGAGATAGAGAGGTCAGGTCAGAGGGAGCGTGAGAAACAAACATGAGTCAGAAAACCAGCAGTAACTCTGGACTAGAGAAGCATTTCACTGCCGAAACCATGTTACAATGACCTAAAAATAGCCGCTGGGACCGTGGGGCCTGCCTTACATGTGGTGCTTGCTTTTAGTTATTTTTCAGATTGCAAAATTGAAGGGCTGGCCCCTAAATGGGAAAATAAAACTTTGCAAAGTAGTAATGAGTACAAATCTTTCATTTCCTTTGGAAAGCATTAGTCACCTATAAATATGGTAGCTCACTCACGCCAAAACACCTCACCTAGCACTCTCTGAGGCAGTGGTGAGTATGGGGGGGCCAGACCCCCAAAAGAGATTTAGAGGGTCCCTGGAAGGTGGGGCAGCGTCGGCGAATATTCTGGAGAAATAAGGAGCAAGAAAGAGACTGGACTCTGTCTAGTGCAGAAGCCAATTCTGTAGTAGGGATAGATATTAAA